TGCATTGCACCAAGTCAGTAGCTAATCATTCTAGAGTGAAACTGTACCCAAGCGAGTCTTACCTTAGCGATGGAATAAGGATGACAAAAGATCGCGGAGCGTGAGTAGGCAACTTTTCAAGTTTGCAGGGGAGTGGTGCACTGGAGTCAAATGATTTTCATAAGCTCAGCTAAGTTAAGGTTGGCGGATAAAGAACAGGAATTATAGCTCTAATCATTCTAACAAATAACATGTGAAACAGAGCATGAAACATCAACATCCGCATGTTAATCGCTAGTCAGTTACTTGCCGGGACTGTTCACTTTCCACGGATGTTCCGGAGCGATTTATCTGTGGATGCATGGTCCGACTTGGAGATGTCCGTCGGATTCTAAATTTGCCACTAAAGCGAGGAAGCCTTGCTCTTGGATACTGTATTAGGTAACGTGTTTGGAGACTATGGTACTGGTAAGGTACAGCAAGATAAGGTGAGGTAAGTCAGTGTAACCCAATTGCGGTGAAGAAATAGTGTATATTAAACATCAAACCTCAGCATAGGGGCTCTCGTATGTGGGCATCTGTGTTCCGATTACCAGTAGGACAAATACAGAGCGCCTGTGTCTTTGCAGAAACTATGGGTGTTTGTCGCTACGCTGCAACACTCGTTGAATTAGTGCAGTATCTGTGCAAAAGCCCTCCCGTCCGATGTTGCGAGAGAGCGGGGATTCAGTTCTGATTCACTTCGTTCCATAACATTTGGCCGATTTAACATGCACCGTCCTTTCTCATTTGCGTACCACCAAGGGCCACATGTCAGTCTGTGGTGCTCGGTCTCACAGTCGGCCTGTTCGGCATAACCCCATCGTGGCCTCGTTGGTGACTGGCCAGACCAGCTGGGCTAAGGCACACGCGGCCGCATGCACTACAGCTCTATGTGGGAGTGGCTGAAGAATTGTAGTCCGCCGGCAGCTGATGTCTGCGTGCTGCACGTTGAATTTCCAGATGCACTAGCTATCTTTCTTGCGCTTAAGCAACGGTGCACGTGATGAGATCACGTCAGGTGGGGCGATTCGTTGTCATCTTCTCCCAACCTCTTAGGTCAATACTCACTGGAGACAAACTAACCTTGATATTGTCTTGGTAGCGCAACTTTGGTTTGCCTGCATTCCGGCCGCATGCGCTCAGTTGCCCATACAGCAGTTGCTTCGGGATTCTCGTTGTATCCATACGGCGCACATGTCCAAGCCACCGGAGGTGTCGCAGCAGTAGCATGCAGTCCATGGTGTACACTTCGCTCCGGCGGATCACATCATTGTCCGGTACATTGTCCCACCGGTGGATGTGCGGAATCCGGCGAAGGCACTGCTAATGGAATCGTTCCAGAAACCGGATATCGTTTCTGTACAGTGTCCACGTTTCCGATCCGTAGATAAGGACCGAGAGAACCATGGATTTGTACACCACCACTTTGGTTCTAACAGAGAGATGATGATCCGTCCACACGCGATGTTCCAGTTTCCCAAAAGCCGCACTCGCCTTCGCTACACGAGCGCGCAGTTCGTCGGTGATCCGCACATCGGTTGACAATGTGCTCCCAAGGTAACAGGATGTTGAAATGTTTTGTAGTATTGTTATAATTGAGGGAACGCTGCCACTTGAGATAATTGCGTAATTGCCTGATAAGAGTGTCGCTGGCACGCCTACAATGACGGCTTGATACGCTGACCACTCGAACGGAATTGCGCTGTCCTGATGACGCTAGCTTAGCCGGTGAGGCGGATAATTGAGCGAGCTTGTGAACGATCCTAGCCGCACGTGTTCGGATTGACGCTGAGCCTCGGAACGGACGCAACGAGAGGAAGTTATGATAGACGCGCGCTAATGACTTAGACGCGAGGGCTGGCCAGCTAACGACTCACACGCAATCACGCGACCCGACCGACTCCCAGCTGAGGCGAAGAGAAAGAAAAGGCAAGTGGTCCTCTGTAGGCTCTTTTACGACCGACAAAGGGCGATCACAGACGATGCTATGGGTTATTAAGTAAGGGAAAATTTCTACCATAACAAGGTGGTAGTTTGTAAAAAACTATTGTCAAAAGGGGCGTAGTTGGGCCGCGCTTCGGAGTGGCTGAGCTCTGCTGCGTTGTGGGGAGGAATTGGACCTCGGTTTCCACAGCCATTCTGCCGGGGTTTCTGGCGTGTTTTTGCGGGAATATTTGACGTGCCCGCAACAAGTATTTCATCTGCAATCCGTATTTCTGACTTGAACATGGGCTCCACTCCCGGTGCCGGCTGAAATAGGCGTACAATCTTGTCTGTGTTTCTGCTGAATCCAAACTTGGTCGGCGTGGTAGCTAATGCAGTCACCATGCATTGCAGTTCTTCCTCGGTATGTGCAAACAAGGCACAGTCGTCAGAAAACAGCAGCATACGGATGGTTGTCTCAGGCACTAGGCTTCTTGCTCCAAAGCGGCGAAAGTTAAACAAACTCCTGTCCATGCGGTGCTTCAGATGCGCACCGTATTCACACGTGTTGAATGCGCACGACATCACAGCAGTCAGGTAGATATATTGACCAGTGTGGGGGCTAATACGCATTCTTGCTTCACACCGGAGATAACGGCAACGTCATCTGATGTCTGTACACTCAGTTGCACCCTTGCTCGCACGCCAGTATGCAGGCATTCAATCAGACGAATAAACTTTGCAGGGCATCCAAACTTTGAGAGAACCAGCCACAACACCTCACGGTTCACCGTATCGAACGCTTTGGTGAAGTCGACCAAAAACGAATACAACTGTTGATTGCGTTCACAACCTTTTTCCTATATATATATATATATATATATATATATATATATATATATATGTATATATATATGTATATATATATATATATATCAGACAGTTGAAACCTAATAAGGCTGCAGTAGCAGATGAACTCTATTCAGCTCTCTTCACATTCTGGGGGCCTGCCATTGTAGATGATCTGTTCAACCTACTTGTGAGGCTGTGGGGTCAGGAAACTGTCCCAACAGACTGGGGCCGCTCCGTAATAGTCCCAGTTTTCGAAGGGGGCTCACGTTCGGAATGCGGCAATCATAGATACTCGCCACTCTCTTCGTAGGTTACTGGCATCCGTTCAAGCCAGACTCGTGAGAATCAAGCCCGGTTTCGTCGAAGTCGCGGCTGTATTGATCAAATCTTCACATTACATCGATTGTCGGAACACCACCATGTTTACCGGAGAGCCGTCATAATCGTGTTCTTCAACATCAGAGATGCCTTCTATTCGGTTAATTGCTTTGCCCTTTGGGACTGTCTATTTAACAAGGTATGGACGGAAAATACGTAAACATTATCATTGCGCTTTACTCGCATAGCTCGGGCAGCGTAAGAGCTTACGGCAAGCTGTCGCCGCTCTTCAGTAAGATGCTTATTGTCACCTCTCCTTTTTAATTTATCCATCGACTTGATCATGGTGACCACGTTCACAGGACACGACTTGTAAGTCGTGGAGATGTTCCCAGGTGATCGAATTCTTGACTAAGTACGGTAACGACATTGCTCTTATCATTGACAGCTCCTGAACGTGCCAAGTTGCACTGGATAAATTAGCTCTGGCTGTCAATCGTTTTGGGCTATGCTTTGCACCCTCTAAATGCGAAAGCTTTCTACGAGATTGACAGGGACCCACCTCTGCGCTGACTTTTGATGGTAATCAGCTTAAAGTCGTCAAGAACTTCAAGTATTTAGGCAGCTATATCAACGCCAGTGGAATGGAAGTTGAGGTCACAAACCGCTTAGCAGAAGCTGGAGGCGCTTTTGCCAATCTCCACAACCCGTGGCGCCAATGCGCGAAATCACTCTTGTTCTGAGGGGCAGAGTTTACAATGCAGCCGTCCGTTCAACTCTACTGTATGCTTGCGAAAACTGGTCCATCAAGTTGACAGACATAAAGAGGTTAGTCACGTTCGATCATCGCTTCCTTCACAGCTTAACTCATGTCTAGTGAAGCACCGCGTGAGAAACGAACGTGTTCAGCCTCGGGTATTTGGTGAAGGAAGAGCGAGTGAACCACTCAACACCATTATATCACGCACCAGGCTCCAATGGCTAGGCGACATGTTGCGCATGCCAGCCCATTGAGTCCCGCGACGTGCGTTGTTTTTGCGTCGGGTGTGTGGATGAAATAAGAGGAAAAGCGGCCAAACAGCGACTTAGTCAAGAAAAATGTGATCACTCACTTCGAAGTTGGTGTCGGTTGGCGTGTCCCGACTGCCTGGCTATGGTCCAATGGACGGTGAACACGTCACGTTGGATACACCAATTGACATGGCAAGGTGCCGATCTCAGTGGCTTTTGTGTTGTTTTTTATGCTTCCCCATCCCACTTATCTTCCTCCAACCACGATCTCAGTCTTGAACCATGATATGTTGTTAAGCGGTGTGTTTTCTATTTTTTGTATTCCATAATTTTTAGTTTTCGCTTTTTTTATATCTTATCTTCTTGTACTGCGGCACAATATTTGAAGTGTGTTTCTGACCCTCAGCCAACATGTAGAGATGGTGGTGGTCTTTTCGCGTGACCATTCATTACCTGCCCACTGTGTCGGTCCGCTGCCACGCTGTGATGTTTGTTCGGTTGAGCCACCCAACAGAATTATGTAGCACCGTATCACATTGTGCATCAAGCAAAATACTCTCACCGGCTCTGCTTGTTTCAGCCTGGTTCGAATGTGCTTTTTGGGAAAAGTTTCTGTCCTCTTGCAACAGGTACGGCGACTCATTTTTCTCGGGGTCCCCGAAATGTGATGGATGGATTCGGTGGGACCAGCCCTTTCGGTTGCTTGTATTCCTTTGTACCCGGCGCAACTTTTATGTTTAATTCCCTGCTAAGTGAAATCCTCAATAGACATTCCGCTGGTTGTCAATACTTGTACAACGTTCGCTGTCCCCATCTACTCACAACCAATCGATTTCTTGCCTTTCCTTTGTGTTGTTTTTTTCTCGTCCTGTCAGCCTCTCGCCGTACTCGGTGCCGACGTTCTGGGTATCGACCAGGTGGAAGAAAGTATTGCCGTTGCCGCTGAACATGCTGACCTCACGACTCGATATAGCCCTTCACCAGTGTTTCGTCCTCCCCAGTATCGACTGGCCACCCTGCAAGACATCACACACGAATCTGCCGAGCTATTTGACGCGATTGTTCTATCTGAGGTTTTGGAACATGTCACTGAATGGGAGGATATGCTTCAACAGGCTTCTGTGTGCCTCAAGGTTAGCTTTCTCCATCGAGATACACGTGGTCATCTTTTGTCCCTTTTCATTCACAACGCTTTCCTGTTGGGCCGCACACTTCCCTTCGTCTGTGTTACCAGTGGTAGTTTTGTGGACGAATCGGAATTGCTTTACCCACTATTGTCCTACGCGTGACTGATACTGTTTATTACTTCACTTTCTTCCAGCCTGGTGGGATGCTGTTCATTACTACAATAAACCGAACTCTACCCTCATTCCTGGTCGCCATCGTTGGGGCTGAATACCTCACTAAAACTATCCCGCGTGGCACACACCATTGGTCAAAATTCATTGAACCTGATCGTGTCTATGCGGCTGTTACGAAAAGTGAGTACTTCCTTTCCACTCCTATACGCCCCATTCTCTTATATTTTCTAATTTTCTTCTCTGAATGCGTTACATCCACTTTTCCTCCTTCTTCCATCTTTACAGTTGGCCTTCAAATGCAACAGTTGCTAGGCATGCGATGCAATCCACTCACTGGTCGTTGGTCCTGGACTAACAATCTTTGTATCAGTTACGCCTTGAGCGCTGCGAAACCTGTACACCATTAGAACGATATGCTGTTGACCTATCACATTCATGTACTCGTACTTCCTGCATCTTTCTTTTTACCAATTAAATGTAATTCCTTTTCTCACCCACCACATCCTTTTCGTCGCTTGCTTGCCATTGATGGATGGCCACACACGTACACAACATCTCCTCGGTAGTCGCGTTAACAGCGGCACTATATCTGTTACATATACTACTCTTAGCATCTGGCCAATTTGTGGCCACTAAAGCCCTCAATTTGACGTGCTCACATCTACTGATACCACAATTCCCCGTAGCTCCCCGAATCATCCAAAATGAAAAGTACACCGGCCCCTTTGAGCGCAAAGGTTACAAGCGCTCTTCAATGGAGGTTATTACATTCTGCTTCTATAATCGGTTACTCATACGCTGATTTTATTCACATTGACACATTGTTTGATTGCATACAAATTCTTTTTGTGATATTCGCTAAAGGCCATGTGTTGTGTGCCTCAATGCGCTCAACACGTCTCTTCACGGTCATTTGTCACTAGGTTATCCTTGATGGATTTCCGTCTGTCTGCGACTTCCTGCCTTCGCAAAGTAGTGTGGGTGCCAATAGCCTGGAGGCAACCGAAATGAAACTAATCTCTCGATGATTGGCGTATGTAGCGTGAGCACCTTTGTTGAAAATCGCGACAACAACTGCTCCGTCCCGGAAAGTTAGTACTTTTTCTTTATGCCAGATTTAGGAATACAATAAAGTTAACTGGCTGATGCCATACTTGAACAGCCCCTTAGGTAGTCCGTCTGAACCGACAGCCCTTAATCAATGCAAGTGTCGAGCCGCAAGACGAGCTTCTGTTTCGCTGGATGAGACAACTGTGACGACTCAGGACGGACAGCTGGGTTAACAGGGCATACAATTGGACAATGAGGATCAGTTGAACTGGGAATGAAGATGTTCGATCCATCGATCCAAGCTTCTCTGCAGATTAGCAATCGGCGAACTATCAGCTTCGCAAATAGTCTCACAGACATCAGGCTTTAAGACCACTGAATCTAATGAGCTAGAAGCGCTTGCGTGTGTTGTCAGAGATAGCGGTGGCTTCCATTTCTGAAGCACGCTGAGACCACCATGCTTCGCGATCATTGCGTAGGCTTTGTTTGCGCTGATAGAAGGGCGCATTCCATTATAGTTATACTCTGCCGGGATGTTTCTGCGGTGGTCAAATCGATCCAGGGAGTGCGTGGAGATCCATGTCTTCATAGCGTGTTGAGTAAGACTACAGAAAGTCTGTCCTGGTCTGCTGCATGAACGACCAGTATTCATCATTGTCTTGTGGCGGGTCGCAGGTAACTGCCTCGGCCTGGGAAGAGTGATAGCTTTGCTGATCCGAGTATGTAGATGGCTTTTCGTTTCGGAAACACCGAAACTCCTGCGGATGTTCGCACAGACAAGAATATCATTCGAGTCAAGGAATGTGAGCCAGATGGGTTTGCATTCCTTGACTATGATTAAGCCGTAGAATGGGAGGGCGCCATGTAGCCGAACGTCTCCACGGATGGCTGTAGCTGCTACCCGAGAGAAACAAACGATTGTCTTTACACAGTATGAGAAGTCTGTTCATTACTTGAGTGGCTCTCATCCAGCGTATGGTGACCACCGAAGTGACTCACATGATAAAAGACAAACCGACCCGTGCATTGAGATACCCAACAAGGGCAGGGATATCGGATTTGCAAGCTCTACTTAGAGCTGATGAGATTCACGATAAAAGTTTTTCCTGACCGAGTCGCAACTGCAGTCATGTGGAGTGTAAGCTGAGATCACAAGTTAATCATACCTCTTCATACGACATATCTTGATCCGGCATGATCCCCGAAGCCGAGCTACACACAGTCAGCTATTAATCAGGAACCAGTGCAGCAGTGAGGCCTCAGGTTTGTTCCTTAGTGCTACACCAACGTCAACCAAGCCTGCCGCAGCTGCTTCTGTGTCACCAGCTGGACCTAGGTTAAATATGGCTCCGTGGTCGGTGGGAGATCTCAACTCAATCACAGTACTGAGATCTTCCAAGCGTGTCTCGGGAAGAGCAAACATTGATTGCGAGAGATTCCAAGGTGCCCATCGAGACCGATCTGCATGAGTGTACGTACATTGAAACATGCCAGACGGAACGAAAATCAAGACCGAAGGGGAGCCCACTGGGCGTGCTGTGTGTTCGTCAACCAGGTCATTGGGAGTAGAATCATCGAAACAGGGAGTAGCTGGTAACGGATAACAATGATTGGTGACGAACGAGAAAGTGGCGTGTGAAGTTGTGTGAGTGACAGAAAGAAAAGCAGTTGAGTGCCTTAGAGTAAATGAAAAATCATTTGTTTTGGTTTGTTACTACACGGTTGCCCAGGTTGAAATGAGGAGTTGTCTCAGGGGAACACTACTCCGGATTTTTGGCTAAATAGCATACCCGAAAGGGGCAGATTCAGGGAATTGCGCCCTTTGAGAGTTCATACGTCCTTTGTTTGATGAGATACCAAACAGATACCCAACCCTCCCCATGATGTCTGCACACATCGAGGAGAAGCAAGGAGCAATGACTTTATTTAGTGGTGAGTCGCTACCACGTCGCAGTATTATTAAGCGAACATTTATGGCTTTTTATAGAGAGCGCTTACCAGGCGAAAACCCCATACCTCCTGGAACACTGCCGCTGGATACTTTGTTGGGAAGGGATAACCCAGAACCACCCATATGGCGCCACTAGGAGGTATTTAGGTGGGGGGTCGCACTTTTCCTCTGATTTGTCCAGCCGCTCTGTTCATCCTTACTGTAAGGTGCTAGGAAAGTCCCCCAATAGTCGTATCGGTCGTCGTTCCCATCTGAGAAGGCAGTCTTCGCTGAAGACCATTGACGCAGTAACCTCTTAACACTTCAACAAGGACTACTTACGACTCGCTCAATCTCTTATTTGTCTGTGCGCTTCATGCTTCTGTGCCAATTTACATGAAGTCCACAGCGTGCGCAGCACGTCAAGATTGTTTCATCTTCCCTTAACTTTATAGATAAACTAGCCTCTAGTTGTTCCATTCCAGCTATTCACTCCGAAGGAAAAGTTCTATGGCATGACTGACAAGCTAAATCAGAATCCTTGGACGACGTCGTTTTTCATAGTACGACCATGTCTGGCTAAACTCGCGACTGAGTAATCTGCAACAGGGCTATTTATACTCTGGTATACATTCCGCATTCTAATTTGCAAGAGGCTACTTCAAGATTGCACTGTAGCACTGAAAGTTATGATGACTACCTTGGAACAGTTGGATGGTCTGTGTGCAGAATCGACTATATGGCCTGTTGTAGTAAAGACGCTATTTAACTGTCATACGTTGTAAACATTTGTGTGTTACATACTTGCACTATAAATTTGCGATAAAAAGTTGGAAACATGATCTGTCGAAGTCGCGATGCACTTAATGAAATGCCCTCCGTAACGCCCGATTGATTTCCTTCTCCGTATCCAATAGTTCCTTCGCGTGCCTCTTGTAAGCGTCGAATTCCTGGAATGGAGTGAAAATTAAGCATATAAAGCCTCGTTGTACATACAGTTGGCTAGCGCGACTTCTATTATTCATTTTACAATTTCAATTGAGAGATGCTGGGACGTCACTAGTTTGTTGTGTGGCTGGTTTTACGTCTCGACTAGTGGCTACCATTCATCTGACATCTTTATCGAGGGCATCTAGTACTGGTGCTCGGTCAGGATTGTTTATCCGGAACCCGAATATTTCACTGTTCGCCCAGTTAATACCACGGGTTCACACTGCGAATGCATCTGTCTTCCTCTGTTATCCTGTGTTCTCTTATCTAACTAACTAGCAGCCAGACTTAATCATGCGGTCACTACACGTATGAAAAGACGCTTAAAGGTTAATCTGTTCCGTCAGGACATCATGGTACCAATGGTACGCCTCAACCTTGTATCAACCCGTCTTTACTAGGTGGCCATCTGTGGTTGCATGCAGCCAGCACCATGCAGGCTAAAGTCGGGGACTCTTGGATTACAAGAAATACACCTAAACCATTCATCAGTTGGCCGGACTGGCCAGCGGTAGCCATTTCCGTCAACCACTGTGGAATTGTAGACGGTGGTCAGTGCCTGTGCGAAGTAATGAATTAAGCCACTGTACAGTCACTGACAGCAGAGGTCGACTCGACTGGTTGTGATGTCAGTCTACCCTCTATTCATTATTATGCACGTTGGTATTGTGTATGGGTGTGAGGTGTTACATTTCAACTGAGCTGGTTATGAGTTCGTGCCTCATATGCAGCTGATGCTTCCGATGATGACAAAGTTCTACAGACCAAGTTTGGCTGTGCGAGCCTAATTAGGATGCTTCAATTCTGCTAGTTCCCCAAGTAGTAGGTGTTATTGCCTACCATGGTTAATGAAATTCCCTTCAGCTTCATCATGTACGGGATTCCATTCCCATGCTAATATCGTCCCGTTCTACTTCGCATCAATTGGTCTAGTAGGCTGCATTTATCATGATAATCCCAATCCACCGCGTATGGTAGTGCGCTAAACGATCTCATCAAAATTCGATACGCTATGTACTCATTGTTCGCAGTGATTACCTAAACAGATCACAGTATCCATACGGAAAATGTGTTTATCGATGAGGTATATCAAACACACCTGTTGCAGTCGATATTTCATCTGCTCTGTCATGCAAAGTCTTTCTTGCAGACGTCTGATGTGCAGATTATCCCGAAGCTCGTCCTGCTCTTTTCTGAAATAGATGTGTGATTTCAACATTATTACTCGCCATGAAATGTTGCTCGTTAGCATATAATCGTCCAGAAGAACCTATACTTATAACTGTTGAAGAGAGGACATGTTACAAATTGGTTATTTCTCTAACTTCGCTGACTTTAGAGGACCCTGTTCTGTTACTCCAGTTACGGTTTAAGCCTTATCTTCGTACCGTTTTGTGAGCTTAGTGTGTTTGGATTTTGTGGTCGAGAGGCGCTACTACTTTTTTCACGTTCAAAATCATCGAAGACTTTCGTTCGGTTCCATTTGGAAAGGGGGATCTAATCAGAGAGTATCAATGCGAACATTTTTAAGTGGAAAAGGTTTTTTGCAGTATTTTTAAGTATGCTCGTCGCAGCCACTGTCAGCCATCAGTAAAGCGCCGTACAGCCGTCCCGCTCTATAGGGATTTATCAACAGCACATATTCCCTTAAAACTCCATAGATTCGAACACACAACTGCTCCATTTCTAGCTAGTGACTTGTTGAGATTTTGGAGCGGATGTCAGGTACACGCCACTCTCCTTCGCTGCTCTTTATATGACACTCACGGTGGCTCAATACACGTGTCCGTGAACTCCTATCCACTTTCAGATAACGCAACAGCTACTGCGTTCTCGAATACGCGGAAACATCGTGTTCTGAAATTGGTACACACCACATTGGGGATGCTGTTAACTATACACTATTTTGAAACACGCTAACGAAGGTACCCAAGCCATGGTGTCTTTGTATCTGGAGCATTCTATCTTGTGTGTTGAATAATGGCCTACAGTGGAGTGGCCCGAACCTTTCGAGCATAACCTTTGTTTTTAAAATAGACTTCTGGATGAGGTATCTTTTTACCGGAGTGAAATCTGAGCTCTTGTTTGGATAATTATTTTAAGTATCTCATTGCTTTGTCGGATATTAATATTTGTAGCCTCGTCGGTGAAATCATAGACTAAGATATATTTGGAAGGATTGGCATATCGTCGAGAAAGCGACGGCAACAAAAGCATTGGAAATCGACATCAGCCTAAGGGGTTCATTAATGGTAGACTGGAACTTATCAGTACGAAGGAAAACACATGTCGTAACACTAGCTTCGGAAGCGTTGAAAGTTGGGAGTCTTGCTAATGACCATATCATCATTTCGCACACTGAAAGTACCCCAGTGATTGGAGGCGTATACCTAAGTACCACGTCGTTGATGTATTTCTATCCAATATGATTTGGTGGTTTAAGCAGCTTTTCGTCGTATGAAAATAGAAAGGGTGAGAGCGTCGCTCTATGTACAGCGCCACCGTTACCAAGGAACATAAAGAACATTTTAACTTGGGTGAGATGAGTGCGACTGATAAAATTGTCACATTACAACTTGCACAAATGTGGGTGAACTCCGTTCTCGAAAGAGAATGTGTAACCTTAGCCACTCGAGGTTTCCAAACGCATTGGAATAATTAAGGAGATCTTGTGTTGTAATTGCGTAGATCGCCTTTGTCGTCGCCGCTGTTATAATTGAGGGAACGCCGCCTCTGAGATAATTGCGTGACAAGATTGTCGCTCGCACCGTTGGAGCACGACTACGATGACGACTTGTAACGCTGGCCACTCGAACGGAGTTGCGCTGGCCCGATGACGCTAGCTTAGCCGGTGAGACGGAAAATTGAGCGAGCGTGTGAACGATCCTAGCCGCGCTTGTTCGGATAGACGCTGAGACCTCGGAAATGGACGCACACGAGAGGGGGTACGATAGACGCGCGCTAATGACTTAGACGCGAAGGCTGGCCAGCTAACGACTCACACGCAATCACGTGACCCGACCGACTCCCAACTGAGGCGAAGAGAAAGAAAAGACAAGTGGTCCTCTGTAGGCTCTTTTACGACCGACAAAGGGCGATCACAGTCAGTGCTATGGGTTATTAAGTTATGGAAAACAGTCACCACGAAGAGGTGGTAGTTTGCAAATGACCATTGTCAAAAGGTTCGCAGTTGGGGCGCGTCTCGGAGTGGCTGAGCTCTGCTGCGTTGTGGGGAGGAATTGGCCCTCGCTTTCCACAGCCATTCTGCTGGGGTTTCTGGCGCGTTTTTGCGGGAATATTTGATGTGCCCGCAACACCTCCCTTTGAAGAGAAAGTGTAGCGCTTCTGGCGAGGATTGACCTGGAGGGTTTTCGGCGACATCCGGATTCTTCCTGTTCGTCGGCAAGGCAGGTTCTCCAGATGCGGCGACGATTGAGCGGCTTCGACCGTGCTCTGTCGTTGTGTGGCCCATCCGAAAGTATCCAGCAGGATGTGCAGCGGCAGGCGCACGGGAAAGCTTGTTGGCGTGGAGGTTTCTCCGTGGCGCGGACGAAGTTGATTGCGATGGCGAACCTAGGTGTCATCACCCACGGAGACATCATGAAGCATGTCACCTCGCCTGGCCGTCACTGTTGCTTTGATCCAGCGTGGATGACCTGCTCGGTAATCGCGAGCGTAGACCGGGGCTCCAACGACGAATTCTTTATGCTTGCTGTAGGCACCACGGTGACTAGGTGGCTTCTCAGTTGGAATGAGCGCTTCGTTGATTGTGCGTAGCTTGCGGCTTATTAATGCTTCAGATGGCGACTGGCCTCCTGGCGTAGCTGGATTCGGTGTGGACCGGTACGAGAGCAGGAAGGCTTGAAGACACTCATCCACGGTCCCCTCCCCGCGAGATTTCAAAAGCGCCTTCTTGAAGGTGTCGACAAATCGCTCCGCTTGACCTTTGGACTGGGGATGGTACGGCGGTGAGCGGAGGTGTTCGATGCAGTGTCGACGACAAAACTCTTTGAAGATGGAAGAGATAAACTGGGTACCATTGTCGGACACCAAGACGTCGGAAAGGCCATGTTGACTGAAGATTCGTTGGAGACAAGCCAGAGTGGCGGATGCGGTTGGTGGGTTGACGGCGACCACTTCTGGCCATTTGGAATAGGCGTCGACCACGACCAGATAAGAAATGCCATCGATGGGACCAGCGTAATCGATGTGCACTCGAGACCACGGTTTTGCTGGCGGATGCCAAGGAACTGGTGATTGGTGTGGTGGCATCTTTGAGGCTTGTTGACAATCCTGGGACACGAGGGCGGACTGATTGGCTTTGTCGTCAGTTCGGTCGTTTGGCACTGTCGGAGTATGTACCACGTTACAGATGGCCCGAAGAGGAAGATCGGCCAAGCCAAGGGTTTCAAGCCAGTCGAGACCAAGCACGTTGAGCTTCGCCTTTGTAATGTAGCAGATCGCGTTGAACGTGGCGCCCCGGAAGGAGACGGAGCAGTGCAGCTGCCCAGTTAGCTGCACGCGACCACCACAGGCGCTGGTGGCAGATTGGGAGGTCGGTTCGTATGGTGGCTTGCCAAGGGATCGCCAGAGATCCTCGGAGATGATCGTGATGTCCGACGCAGTGTCCAACTGCAATCGGACCGACTGACCGTTGATCAGGACGTCGACGAATTTTCTCCGATCCGCAGCGTTGATTTGGAACGTGGCCAGCAAGCTCAGGGAGCTGCCAACCGGACAAGGTTTGGGTGTGCGTCTGGGTCGGGACCTCTTCTTTGGATCGCGGGTGAGGGCCAGCCCAGTTTTGGCCCCCTTGGGAGATGGAGGATGGCAGTAACCATCCCGGTGCCCCACCCTGCCACAACGTTGACAACGATGCTGGCGGAACTTGCAGTCCCGGTGGAAATGCCAGGCACCACAGAATCGGCATGCGTAGGGTGGGGACTTCGCTCGGTCGGATTGGGTGGGACGCGCGGACGATTGCGCCCTCGGTGCTGTGATTGCCTGGACCATACCACGTGCGGCGGCCTTCTGGATCATTGCAGAATCGTGCTTCAGGTTGAGCAGCGTTTGACACTCCTCGGCCAGGTTCTGGAGTGTAACTGAGCTATCCTGATGTATCTTGGACAGGAAGCGCGTCCGGATATCGGCATCGTGTGGAGACTGGAGGCCAGAGACGAAGATCAGGCATTTGAATTGGTCCTCGGTGAGCGAACCAAGTTGAAACGTTGGCATTCACGGTTGACCACGCCCGCGTACGTGATGAAGTCTTCGGCATCACGTTTGGCCTGTTGCAAACACTGATAACGAGCATTGAACAGAGAGGACTGCTCCCCAAAAATCTGTGACAACGTTCGGACCGTCTCGTCAAAGGTAACGTCGCGTGGGTTCCTCGGTAAGATGAAGTTGGTGTAGCGCTGGTGTTCGAGTGTACCAAGTTTGCACAGAAGTAGCCGGACCTTCCACGCCTCGTCCTGGCAAACCAAGTCAACGGTGAAAAGGTCCTCGTACCGCTTGTACCGAGATTCGAACGTTACCCCGGCCTTGGCGTCGTACAGGAATTCGCTGATGCCGCTAATCACATGGTCCAATGACTGAGAATTGGCGCTCGGACCTGCATGAAGGGAAGAACTGGAAAGCTTTTCGGTTAGCACGGACATCAATTTAAGCTGTTGCTGCAGCATCAGTTTTAAATCTGCGTATTCGTCAGTCATGGTTCGTCAACTCTGTCGCCACTCTTATAATTGCGGGAACGCCGCCTCTGAGATAATTGCGTGACAAGATTGTCGCTCGCACCGTTGGAGCACACCTACGATGACGACTTGTAACGCTGGCCACTCGAACGGAGTTGCGCTGGCCCGATGACGCTAGCTTAGCCGGTGAGACGGAAAATTGAGCGAGCGTGTGAACGATCCTAGCCGCGCTTGTTCGGATAGACGCTGAGACCTCGGAAATGGACGCACACGAGAGGGGGTACGATAGACGCGCGCTAATGACTTAGACGCGAAGGCTGGCCAGCTAACGACTCACACGCAATCACGTGACCCGACCGACTCCCAACTGAGGCGAAGAGAAAGAAAGACAAGTGGTCCTCTGTAGGCTCTTTTACGACCGACAAAGGGCGATCACAGTCAGTGCTATGGGTTAATAAGTTATGGAAAACAGTCACCACGAAGAGGTGGTAGTTTGCAAA